TAACACAACATGGACACTTACTCTCTGGTTCTCTATACCAGACACTGGTACCTTATACCAGAAGGGATTCCTATGCATTTCTTTTATTCAGGATGCAGTCTTATGACCCACAATGTTTTCACTGGTGACAGCAGTAATTAACCAATAGGGTTCTAATACCTACAGAATGGGTCATTGACAGATTCCTGCTATCCTTTTTTATGGGAACAAAGCGACAGATTCTTATGTGATTAAGGGTATTTTAGGTTACAAGTTGCTTTGAGAGGTGATGTAATACTTGTATTTTCCAGTGCAACCATTTAATTGCCTTTCCAGCAAATCTGAACTTGACTTTATTTGCTCCTGTGACTATGGATACTCACTGCAACCACCTTGTACTGTATATTGAACAGAAACACTTTTTATTTAAGGGAAGGACACAATCAATACATTTTGTCCATGCAAAGCTTGAATGGAAAAATAAATATAATATATAGCAATGGAAACTTGCTGGAAACTCGCCTTTCATTTTGTGATTCCCGTTTCTCTCCCCATGTATTAAAATATGCATTTATTTTAACAATATAAATGATACCTTAGTATTACCTATTTTGAGCTTTGGGTGCAAGTTATTAGCTAGTATGAATGTTGTTTTACCCTCTAAGGGATCTATTTTTAAATGAAATCCAGCAATTAAAACCAAAAATAACCTTAAATTTACAATATCGTATGATAGCTTTTTATAGACAATGTTCAGTTATGGGTAAATAAGCTTTGGAATTTAACTTTAGAGGAAAGAGCCACAGAACTAAGTGGCTGTGTCTACATTGGCACCCTTTTCTGGAAAAGGGATGCTAATGAGACCAGTCGGAATTGCAAATGCCGCGGGAGATTTAAATATCCCCTGCGGCATTTGCATGAACATGGCTGCCGCTTTTTTCCGGCTCGGGGCTTTGCCAAAGAAAAGCGCCAGTCTAGACGGGATCTTTTGGAAGATCAATCCTTTCCCAGAAGATTCCTTATTCCTGGATAAGGGGTTTTATTCTGATATGTTTTCTTCTTCCAAGATGTACCATGAGTTTTTATCCATGTGTCTCCCCACATTGGCCCAAGTACTAGAAGAGAATTGCTGTGGGTTAAGTTCCACAGTGAGTTACAAGGCACACAATTCAAAGTCAGTGTTGGTCTTGTGAATTTACACAGTCGTCCCCAACAGTTCGGAATAATGACCTCAAATACCATGTCTAGTCTGTCTAACTCACCAAGAAACAGTTCTGAATACCAACTGCTCTTTGAAAATGTCATGCAGTGACGTTACTCAAAGTACAATCTGGACTGCTGGACATTTGTGTCCTTTCCTTTCCTCGACCGGGGGTGCCTTTTACACTGCTTCACTGAGCAACTGCTTGTGGTCCGCTCTCAGCCCCTCTACTCCCTCAGCATGTATAGCTGTGGGTGATTTACAGTATGTGTGATAGCCAGTCACACTTGAATGACATGACTGGGCAGCACTCTCCTGGACAAGAGAAGCTCATATAAAGTCTGTCATCTATTAATAAATTGTTGCAGAAGTCTTGTTATCCCAAACTGAGTTTCCCAAATACTTCAGTCCAAACACACTGATTTTAAGAAACAAATTTATTAACTATAGAATGAGAGATGTTTAAGTGACTACAAGTTATGAGGTGCCACAGGACCCCTCGTCGCTTTTGCAGATTCAGACTAACACAGCTACCCCTCTGATACTCTACAAGTTATGAGGCACACAAATCACAATTGGTTACAAGGTAATAAAAGTCCATTAGAGCCACTGCTCCTGCTTTTAAAGCCCTTTTCTAATGGATGCAAGCTGGATAGTCATAGGGTTTTTTTGTTTAAAGACCAGAAGGGACCACCAAATTATCTAGTCTACCCTTCTGTATAACACAGGAGATAGGATAGCAGGTTGAAACAATGTATTGTGCCCAATAACTTGTTTATGGATAAAGCATGTTTTCTAGAAAGTCAGCCAGTCTTGATCTGAAGACATTGAGAGATGCAGAAAACAGAATTTCATTTGGTAGTTTGATCTAGTGGTAACTCATCCTCACTGTTAAACATTTGGGCTGTATCTTTTATTTGGATTTACCTAGTTACTGTCTAGCTGTATGCCTAATGCTATTCAACTGACAGCTTTGAATACTGTCAATTGAATTAGAAGAGAAGGAAACTTGTTTTACTTTGATTTTATTTTCCCATTTCTCTAAATGCAGCATTGCCTAGGATCTTGAGTTGGGTTTACTGATCCTGTTCCTGTCTTGTCATGACTTGCCATGAAAGGGTCAACTTCAGCCCAGAGAATAGCAGTAGCTGTTGGTGCTAACATTTAGAAATAAAAGGCAGGATGTGTCCTGTAGAAGGAATGAGTAGTAATGTTTCTAGGGAGGGTCTAGATCTGGTGGTGGGCCCATGCTCTATGGAAACTGGAACTGAGTGAGGACTGGTGCCTGAAGTGCTGAGGAAGGAATCAATTCAATTCAGGACGACCTCCGGCTCTGTGAGGAAGGGATTAATTGGCTGTGGGAAACCCTGAGCTGCAGAATAAGTACAACTTATTATTTTTTTAGACTCTTTCTTTACCTTTGGAAAGACGAGGAGGCAGATTCTATTATCTGGCCAGAGGACCAACCTGCTTAGAAGCACCAGAAATGACCCAGCCAAAAGCAGAATGCTGAAATTTCTGGAGTCAAAAGCAGGGAGGCTGAGTGTGTGTGTGGAGTACTAGATACCAAAGTGACTGACTGTCCTGGTTCCTAGTAGTGGCATACTACAACTTAATTGTTTTCCTGAGATATGAGGAAAACAGGATTGAGCCAGTCCTTAAAGAATAGCCTAATAGTTATAACGGTGTGGGTTTTGTTGGAGCAAGTTCTTGTAACCATGTGTTGTCAGTTTTTCCTCATTCTGCCACCACAACTTCATCAGTTTGCCTATTACACTCATTTCTTCCATCTTGTCTTAATTTTAGTCTGGAAACTCTTCAGGAATTGTCTTGTGTTTGCAGAATGCCTATGCCAATACTCGCCCTGTTTTGGGACTTCTGGATGCTATTGTAATATCAGTAATAATAGGCTGACTTTGGTACAAATTCCAGATTTAATTTAGATCTAAGTGGATGTTTACATTTATCTTCTAAACTCCAAACGTAAAGGGAAATTTGAAAAGAATAATATGGAACAAAAAATGGACCTCGTACTTATGGGACCATTATCACATAAAGGATAGAGAATTTCCTGCAATAAAAGAGAAACCTCAGAGCATTTTTAAAATAACCAAAACAGTCAGACATAATGCAATAACCACAAAAATATTTAATCACTTAGGAATATTTACATTGATATAGACCAGTACCAGAGAACAAGTTGATTAGGCCACTACTAGCATTTTTGAGTGAAAGTGGATTGATATGTGTAAATAGAATTTTCATCAACATTCATGGAATTGCAAAACATGTGAGGTGAAAAAGTATACAAAATGAAATAGCCAAAAGTAAAATTTCAGAGGAGTGGCTGTGTTGATTTCAGCAAAAACAACTAGGAATCTAGTGGCACCTAGTTGACGAACACTAACAAATTTATTTGAGCATAAGCTTTCATGGGCTAGAGCCCACTTTGTCAGAGTGAAGTGTTCATCAGTTTCTCACAAGTCTATCTAGCAAAACCTCTTGTGTCTGTTACTGCAGTACATTTATGTATCCATATACATGCAAGGTAATTTAGGCTGTGAGGACTTCAGGATAGGGTTTGTCTTATTTTGTACAATTGGCTCATGATCTCAAGGCCTCTGTTACTGTAATAAATAAGAAAGGTTTAGATATGCTTTAATCAAATATAAATTGTTTAAAAATACTTACAACTTTCTGTATTTCTTATCCCTTGCTGTTAAATACATTTTCAGGCAAATTGGATATAATATCTGTGATCTTCACTTGCCATTTAGTCATAGGTCCTGAATTGTTCCTGTGTTAGTGCTGGAACTGAATGGAACAAGGGGCTTATGCCCTTACCTCTGATCTGAGAGCTGTTGGTGTCACTGCAGCACACACAAGTGAGGGTCATGTTGATTGGCCCTCAACCTGCACTTAGTGGGTCAGGGCTTTGCAACCCCAGGAAGACTGGCTGTAGGAGTGCTACTGCCATACCCCTTGGACTGCAATGTATGTTAAGGCTCTTGTCAGAGAGCCACACAGTGACTTCTGTAGCAGGTGAGCTTTCTGAAGGTGAGGAGGCAGGGTATGTGGTGCAAATGATGCTGCATGGCAATTATGAACTGGGCCCCAGATCCTCTGGTAGAGTTCCCATTGTGAGTTGCTGAAGTTCAGGATCTCTTAGGATCAGTCCTTCGGGACTTCATGTTTAATTGATAGTTGTAATCCAGGATTATTTACCTAAAGAATCATTCTGCCTCCTATCGTTACTGCACAACATGCTGCCTACAATGGTTCTTGGAGAATGGGGCATTTGAACATTACAGCTAAAATGTATCTGGGCATTCCCTCTCTTTTTCATAAGTACTCTAACATCTATTCATGATGGTACATCTAAAAGAATTATTGTTTCAAACAGGAAATAAACAGCAGGAGCAAACCAATGATCTTATGAAACAACAATCCTGCTCTCATTTCAAAGCACAAAGAAGTGAAGATTCCGAGGAAGAAAAATTCAGAAAATATTGCGTTTGAGAAATAGTTCTGAGTAGAAGATTTTCAAAGTTTTCAGCAAGTGCTTTTTTTATAGTGATCTGACAAGGGACAGCTGGAGCTATTTAAGGGATACATATAAATCTTCTCTTAAAATTAAAAAATCATGTTTTGAAGACCTTTTATTTGGACAAATAGAAGAATATTTTTAAAAAGTTCTAATTCAGAAAAGATTCATCTCTCCTTTTCTTTGTAAATG